TACAAAGTAAATGCCTGGAGTATAGTATACCACAATGAAATCTTAACCCCCAACATGGTAGTATATTTCAGTTATTATTTTGAACAGAGAAAAACTCACTAATATTTAATGATTACTTTCAACCTAACTAAAAAAACTTATGAAGCCTCTTTTCTGTATACAGTAGGTATGAGAGCACCATTATAATATATTACAATACTTTACCCTTCCCTACGTTACCTAACCTTAACCCACCCCACCCCAACCCAACCTACAGAACACTAAACTATACTACACTACATAACATTGAAAACTTTTTTCATGGGTTATTTGTAAATATAGGATATTTGTACGTGCATAAAACAAACAATAAGAAAAAATAAAGAAAACGTAATTCCTGTCCTATAGTATTATGATTACATTGCCTGTCCTATAATGTTATGATTACATTGCCATTTACAATAATTCAGCCGGAGCGATTCCCACTGCGTTATGGCTAGTTTTAGTTTATGGATATTGTTAAGGTAAATGGGTGATACCTGATTGTTTAATATGTGCTTTATTGAGCTATTGTGTAAACAGTGGCTAGCATATTTTTTTGGGGGGGGGGGGGGCTTGGGGACTAACAAAGAAAATGAAACACATACCGTTTCATTTGTACCCGATCAATATCAACTATCTTTTTCGGTTAATGCCCAACACACGTGGGGCAAATGAAGCAGAGTTTATCTGTTTCAATGACCTCGGTATGTCAGGTGATAGGGTGGTCGATTGAAGGAAATCAAGTCACAGAAAAAAGTCACAGGAAAAAAGTCACACGAGAAAAAAGGCCCCAATGACCAGCCGCCGTAGTTTCCATCGAGTGAGTCAGGTACCCATCAGAGCTGGGTGGACTCAGATACCTATGCAATTTTAAGGGTCGGTTATGTTTCTCCTGTTTATTCAGTATCGACTTTTCTGTATCGCTGTTTGAATAAAGTTCTTAGGGCCAGGACAACGTCATTAATAGGGCAGCGATAGTAAAGTAAGTAACGCACCCCTTCCAAACCTGACGGTCTACGGGAGAAGTGAAGTATACTTATAGGGATAGTGTGGCCAATACTATGCCCAGCCGCCTTTACTTTCCCTAGCGTGAGTTAGGTACCCATCAGATGTGGTTGGTCTCGGGGACGATGTACTGACTTGAACCTGGATTCGAACTCGAGATTACGGGTTAGCAGTGTAGCTCTCTACCGCTAGGCCACTCCGTATTAGGGCAGCGATACCGTCAAAAAATTCAACTTGATATAGTTTCTACAGGGAAACGCACCAGTATCTATTCGTTAAAAGTGACGGTAAAACCTCCCGAACATGAGCACTCGTGTATTGGTAATATTCATGTTCGATTCTTATTCAATCGATCAGCTTCTGCAGCGCATCTGTTCCCGTGTTCCTTACTGCAGTCGATGAGATGCAGATAACAGTTTTAGTCAAACCACCTGTGGCTTGTTTAGGTGGCCTACTTTAGATAAGTGTGTATGTGTTGGTGGTCGTGTGGTGTTTATCTGTGTCAAGGGAACAGCGAGTGACCTGGATTTTGTGCATGTGTAGCGGCTGGCTGTAGTGTATGTATAGCACATGGATGGCATGGGCGGGCGACCCCCCCCCCCCCCCACCCCCCTTCTGTCTCCACTGTGACTAGGGTCGTGACTCGTGAAGGATGGTAAGGTGATCCCATATGCTTCAAAACATACAATTTGTGCATGTGTAGCGGCTCGCTGTAGTGTATGTATAACGCATGGATGGCATGGGTCGACCCCCCTCCCTCACCGTCCGTCTCCACTGTGACTAGGGTCGTGAAGGATGGTACGGTGATCCCATATGCTTCAAAACATTCAGTATGACGTTGTACTGATTAATGGTTACTTATATGATCTTGGACTGGTACACGCCAAGTCGACTCTTTACATTTTTTTTTTATTTCTTTAAATTTTAAAGTAATAAAAGATAGGTTAAGTTCCAGGGGAAAGGAAAAAAAAAGAGTAGCCCCCATTTGGTCTTGCCAGCAATAATAGCTGTACCGACAAAGCCTACCGAAGCTAATCCCAACTGACCACTGTCGTGGGCTCATGGTAAACAGGGGCGTACTTGCTTCATTACTGATTTGTTCTTCTAAACGTCTTGGCAGTGATCGAGTAACCTCAAAGATTGAATGTCTGGTATCCCTCATCAGAGTAAGGACTAGGGTTTAGTTTGAATTATTTTTTTTAGGACTGAATTACAGTTATAGATTAGTTTTAGAGTATATGTCTAGTTTGGCATAGTACATAGGGGTTGGGGGCGATATATAACATTAAGTATAACTATAACACAACTTGACCGTCACTGCATTATAAAAAAGTTTAGTTCCCCTTCGAACTTAACGGTCCATTGTACAAATGAAGTAGAGTATACATGTTTCTGTAACGTCAACATAGTTATGTAGGGATAGTAAGGTCAGCACTTTACCCAGCCGCCGTTACTTTATGATACTTTATCCTAATGTGAATCGGCGTGAACAAGAGCTTGATGGACTCAGAGCTCTTCTGTGAGCATTCATACACGCCGTTTCTACTACCGCGTCATGTCCAGACTAATTAGTTAGAGGTGTGAGACTTTTAAAATCATTTAAAAACAAAACAAACAAAAAAATTTCAATTTAAAACAACAGCTTTAAGTCTACCACAATATTTTTTTTTAACTAGCCCTTTACCTAATCACAGTGGCGTAGCCAGGAATTTGTCATGGGAGGGGTTCTGACATTTTTCCATATGTATACAATCCTATATATATAAATAAATATATATATATAGGCCTATATACATATATATATATATATATATATATATATATATATATATATATATATATATATATATATATATATATATATATATATATATATATATATATATATATATATATATGGGTCCATGGCATGGGAGGGGTTATAACACCCCCTAACCCCCCATTACCTACGCCACTGCCTAATCATAACCCTAACACTAACATTGTATTGAAAATAAATATGTATTTGCTAGCTGATCTCTTGAGGAATGGTGGCGGGGGGGGGGGGGAGGTGAGATGAAGGAGGGGTGAGTGGCTATAATCTTTTGACCGCTTGTTCCAGATGCACTCGCTCAGTCCGGTTAATGAGCCCCGCTTGGGCCGGCCACTCCTGGACACTCGTAGTCCCCGACACAGGGAGAATGCGCACATCTCCCTAATTAAAAGCCCTGGGCGGCGGTGATAACGGCATGTTAATGTGTAGCGGAGATAACGCCACGAGCGTCATGTGTGTCCAGCCTGTCTGACACACCGGGTTCTGACACATCCATGACACGTGACACGGCCCGCCTTATCCAGCCGAGGTCTTAATAGAGGTCTTGACCCCCCGGCCTTTCACCCCCCGCCCCCACTGCCCAACCGTACTAATCCAACAGGATGCCAGCCGTGGTCGCAACTTGTTGTTTAGTAGGAGGTCAACGGGTCAAGGCCAAGCACTAAGAGCTTGGCGAGACGGCGCGACGCACTAATGGGAACAAAAGTATTGAAATTTTTTTTCAGTCGTGGGGGAGGGGAAGGGGGGGGGGTTATGACAAGCCAGTCAAAGGTCACGGGGAGTCACCCGGTGTCATTCATGGTCACTGGAATACGTTAATTGTTTTCTAATTGTGTGGGCTACGTTAAGGTTGAACGGTGATACGTGATCTGTATGTCGAGGCTAGTTAACCGCGGTATAGCGGGCTCTATACCCCTTCAGTGGCGTTGGCAGTGGGGGTGTTAGAACTCCCCCATCCCGGGCTGTCCCGTGGTGCTAGAACCACAATAATGAAAGTATGTTGTATAACGTTAAGTTGTGGTGTCACTCGATGCAGTGATTGAATGTGTCGCCTCACCCAAATGTTTTGAAATTTCAATTTAATGTTACACCTCTCCCTTACTATTTAAAAAAAAATATTTTTTACTTGATAAAACATTGTGTTAATAGTAATTTTTTATAATTTCGGTTTGGTGTCACCCGGTATCACCAAGCGAGAACGTCGCCCCGTTGTATTGCTAATGTTACAGAAATATGTGGGTTGTTAGGTTTCGTGCTTAGTTGTCCATTTGGGGGTGTTGGGGGGGGGGGGGGGGGGAGTGGGCTTCTGTGGTCGCAGATAAAATGCTGTGTATTACTACTTAGGCTGACATAGCCATATTGAGTATCATGACATGGACTGTAGCGACACCCCCCCCCCCCCCCCTAACGCGGCTAACCATAATCTGCAACTCTGACATTAACCCTAACAATGATCCCCATATAATAAAACAAAAACTTTGGTACGAAACTGCATTGCCATATATAAGCATAAACATACATATATGTATACATACGTAGGGTGCAAGCATTTGGTATGGAACATTCATATTAATATTTTTGTTACGAAAACAATAGGCCTATATTTGTATACAGCGTAACATTCTAGCTTAATATCAATTTACACCCCATGACTACAGATTGAATAAATAAAATAAAAAAACAACAACACTTTTTTGTTTGCCTCGGTCTCAGGCCGAGAAATAATGAACGCAGTTTGCATGTAGACACCCATGCCTTTAACACTTAGACCTACTCAGAAAGAGCAGCCGTTTGTAGTCAGTTTTTAAAAAAACCAAACCAAAATAACCCATTCAACATAATTACTACAACTTCTTAAATACTGTGCTTTACGTTAGTAGACTTACAACCGGTACATCAAGCGTTAAAAAAAAAACCCATACACATATACACACACACACACACTTTAATCTGACACGGTTGAAACGTTTTACCCGCTTTGTCATCGCCCGAGGTCATTTGCTGTTACGTGTTTAGACTGCTAGCCGACTATGCTATTCTCGGTGAACCGACTAGGCTAGTCTATTCTGTGTGCCTCCACAACACACAAACAACCCCTGGCAGACGTCGAGACGTCATGGTGACGTCAGAGGCGAGACAGCCTTACTTTGATCCGCCGCCATAACAAAAATAGCTCACTCATCAATTAATTCTAACTTATTTGGATAAAGCTATGATTGTTAATTTTAATATAGTTAAAATCACAATTTTATTTTAATAATTTTATAATAATTAATACTTTTAAAACGAAATTTTAAACAGAGAACTATTTTGATAACGATTCTCTTATTGCGGAGGGAGGAAATTCAGAAGGGCATGTATGAAGTTGTTTATCTTTGGCGATTGTGGTTAACTTTTTAGCCAGTATTAACTCAAAATCATATTATTGTAGTGTGAACTTTTGGTCATAGTTAAATAATAATAATTGTTTTGTAGTCAATTCTTAACTTTTCATAATAGCTATGAATTAAGTTGTATAACTTATTTTCCAACGAGAACACTTGACATTTTAATCAGACTGGCGGAACAGCCAAATATTTTGCAGTCGTGCGAGGTCTGACAGTCGATTCAATAGTCTGCGAGCGAAGGGTAGGCTACGGCTAGTGGATCTCTGCACGTGAAATGGATTTTGCTCTGTGGTTTTCATTTCGGAGAGTATAAAGACTTGTGATTTAATGAATAGTTATTTATGTTTAATTTTGTAGTTTAAATGACTGTGATTCATGGAAGACTACAATTCTCATGTGAACCCCGATGTGAAGCGGGTTGTGCAAAGCTTCCAGTCGGCAGCTGTTCGTAGTTTAAGCGGTCCTAACGGGTTGCCGCCTCGAACTGTGGGCGTCATAGGCCATTCATCTAAGATGAGTTCTTCTGATGTAGAGGAATATCACAAAGCAGTCGCTTCAAATAAAAAAATTCCCGATGAAAAAAGTGAATTTGACAATCCCCTATACGCCCGTCCCCCTTTCCCGATACAACAAATGCCAGTGTTTACGCCGGTTGACACCTCTAAAAGCGAACATTCTGACACCATCTTAGAGGGCGAAACTATTGCCTGCTTCAGTGTTGGTGGGGAAAAACGATTGTGTTTACCTCAAATTTTAAACACTGTACTTCGAGATTTTACTTTACAGCAGATAAATGCTGTGTGCGACGACTTGCACATATTCTGTTCAAGATGCAACCAGATTCAGTTGGAAACTCTCAAAGTTCTGAATATTTTACCTGCTAGGGCCCCTAGTTGTGGATTAATTACCAAAACAGATGCTGAAAGACTTTGCAATGCTTTGCTTCACAGCAATCCTGAGCGTTCAATGGAGTCTTTTTCACGTAACAGCTTTAAAGTATACCATGAATGCTTTGGAAAATGTAAGGGCATGCTTAATCCAGACTTGTACACATCTCCAGAGTCAAACTGTATCCGCTGTTCTGAATGTTATGGTATGTTTAGTCCACCAAAATTTGTGTGCCATGCACACAAATCTCTGGAGAATCGTACCTGTCATTGGGGATTTGATTCTTCAAATTGGAGGTCTTATCTCTTGCTTGCCAAAGATCAGAATCTTCATGAAAATGGTGGTCTTCAAGATGCCATAGATGAAATCAAGTCACGATTTGATCCTTCGCACAAGTCAAAACGAAGACAGGTAACTTGTTTTAGAATCTAGAGTCTAGATCTAAATAAAAATATCACGTTTTGGGGAACTTAATCATTTAGTACTAGGATGATGATGGGTTAGGCCTCACTGTTAGGTTTTTCTTTAAAGATTGTAGAGTGTAGACTCAAGATTTTGCTAATTTACAGTATCAAATTGCATAGAACTGAACTTTATCAGGAAACAACTTTTGTATTTTCACATAGTCCTAAACATTTTTTCTTTACTTTTATGAATTGGTATTTTCATTAAAATCTGTAGATATATCTATCCGCAAATAAACAAGTTGGGAGCTAGGATAATGTAAAAAAATATTTGATCTAATGAACCATATGCTTGAATTATTATTACATAAATTGATAAATTTGTGTACATTCTTAACTTTGGATGTAATGGTAAAGAGACATTGAATTTGAAAGAAATTTTACAGTATTAAAATATCTTAATAGTTACAAGTCTTATATAGAAATTACAGTAAATAATTGATTAATCAATAGGCCTATTTAGGAAATAAAAATGTATTCCTTTTGTTATAAAAAAAAGCATTTAACTTCATTTGACATACACCCCCACTGAACAGCTTGCGCTGTAGCCTAGATTTTTCTTCAAGTTTATATTTATTGAATGTAATAACTGGTCAAACCTCCCACTGCAGTTTGTTCTAATCTTGTATAATGGTAAAAATATAGCAACCTAATCTAACTCAAAAAAATTCTTTTCACCATCTGACCTGCAGCATTTGTTCTTTTTTATTTACATCTCATAAAGTATGCTTTTTTAGCCAAATTAAAAAAAAAACTGCTACTCATTACCCCCTTTAATCAATTCACATAATTTATTTTACAATATCTTGTTTAGTCTACTTTGGGGGTAATCCATAAATGACTTCACGCTTTTTAATCAATTCACATAATTTATTTTACACTATCTTGTTTAGTCTACTTTGGGGGTCATCCATAAATGACGTCACGCTTTTTTTGGACGATTTTTACCTCCCCCCCTCCCCTCCGTCACACGTCGTCACAAAAAGCCAGACCCCCCTAAAATGACGTCACACCTCAGCCTACAACCCCCCTCAAAATTGCAGTTGAATTTTTTTCAAACAGCTATATTTTTCCAAAATCTTGTCTGAACACTGTCAAAATAGAGTATTTTAATCAATTGTTATTACAATTTATTAAAACAGGTTTCTAAAACGCAAAATAACGTCTAAAATTTGTTTTCCAACATTGCTTTTTTATAATGCAAAAGTGTGACGTCGCACCATCTGAAACCCCCCCCCCCCCCTCTCCCCCCTCATCACATACCGTCACAAAATTGCTGACCCCCCTCCCCCCTACGAGTGTGACGTCATTTATGGACGACCCCTTTTTACTAACTTTCTTTGTTCTTATTTTTACTTTTAACATAGCTTGTAAAATAGAACTGATGTTAAATCTTTAATTAAAACTAAATATCTGATTGATAAAACAAAAGCTAATAGATCATACAAATCTTCAATATTGAAATTGCATCCATTCATTTAACAATAACTGAAGTTTTTTATTTTTTTTAAATTTAAAATGTGTAATTGATATTAGCTGCACTTTTAGATCGAATGTAATCATTCTTGAATGAGTGAACATCATTTTTATCCTGAATTCAATAACAATGAATGAGTATGCCAAAATTATAGAATTTGAAATCTAGTGTATATTTTTTCATCTTCAAATTTATGTTTGAAATGAAAACGTAGTGCAATACATTTTTAGAATACAGTAGCTACATAAGGTCAACGTGCATTGGCCTATTTACATTTTCTTTCTTTTGCTACCCTTCTATGAGGTGACGTTCACTCTAACTTTGGTTTTCCCATATTTGGATTTTAATTTTTTCAAGTCAAGATATTTGTCCTTTTGCTTTAGTTAACTTCTAATACTTCAACGTTGTCTACATCATACATAACACACACACACACATACACAAATCGTTGCCTAGCTAGATAGTAAGAGTTAATATGTATATTCTTCCCCCCCCCCCCTTTCCCAACCATTCACTGAATCGATCTTGCTACACACGCTTTGTCTAGATAGGGCACGCAGTGCGGACATACACGCTGAGGTTACTGCAGTGGGAATGGTAAAAATAGCATAAGGGAGATGATGGAGTGGATGGTAGAAGGGGGGGGGGGGCATTTTATGCTTTTAACGGCACGCCGCTCCGCTAGTCTCCAGTCGTAATGCATGCAATGTCACAGAGTTCATTGTGAGGTCATCGAGGTCAATTCTTGACCCCGATCAGGTCACCACTAATTTTTTTTATTTTACGAATGTTAGTTTTAGGCACCGGCTCTGGTATTTGTTAGGTCCTTTTAACAGACCCAGACAAGAACTCGTACGTTTTTAGTGTTTGTTTAAAATAGAGATATTAAAAAAAGTCTTTATTTTATTTTTATTTTTTTTATCCATTGTCCTGTTCATACACAAGATGTCTGGTCCACGTGTGTTAACTTTTTAATGAGATTACTTTACCCAACATTTCTAACACATTACAATTACATCTCTATCAATGCTATTCCTATGGTTGGAAACACTTCAGCTTAGGCTGCTTAATTTTAAGGTTTATGATAGTTGATTATACCAATGTGAGGGGTTGGGACTATTAGTTTATGAATATGTAGGTGTGAGGAACTGACAAGCACATGACGTTTCTTTTAATAACTATACAAGTACAATCCTGTTAACTAACTATACTGACTGAATAACTCATTGAATCTCCCTACAGAGTCCTGAGAGATCAAGAGAGTCTGGCAACTCCAAGCGAATCAAAACCGAGGACAGTGACACCCCCACTGATACCTTGACCCACTCCCCCACCCAAGGAATACCATGGGAGATGATGAGCCTGAGAGGGTTGTCGTCCATGTACCAGTGGTCTCCTACTTTACTGTCCGCCATCAAAGAAGGGAAACTCTTGCCACCGCCAGCCATCATGAGAGAACAGTAAGTAGAGTTATAAAACTTACACATTGTCATTTACAACCTAGGACTAATGAAAATAATTAACGCTGACCACAACACACTTAAGACTTATTTTTAAAATTATGTAATGTTAATTTTAACTCTGTATAGCTCTTGTAATAGAACTGTTATTTAATTATTCGACCATTCATATTTAGGATAAGTTGGCTTAACTAGGTAAATTAAACCCATAGTGTTAATAGACATATTTACTTTAACCTTTGACACCCTGCCCTACTCCCCCAGCTTATCCTAGTTTCGTTATATAGGATACCAGTTAACACATAAGTAAAGCATATAGAACAGGTCTCTGTAAGATTTTGTTTGACCCCCTAGCCTACTAATACCATTGATACAATAGAGTTTTAAAAAACTAATTCTACAATTTAATAACCATAGTATAAACTAATACACTGATTTTGCTCCATAGCCTGGTAAGTGGAATATTACCATCTTATCTGCATACTGGACCACCTGTATTGCTGAATCCAGAGAGAGTTGTCCCCTATTCTGAATCTGAGCGGTGAGTCAAACAATTTTTCACATTTCTCTAGCTTTTGGGGTGTTTACAGCAAAGTAGTTAAAAAAACACCCACTTAAAGTGCACTAAAAAAACATAACATAAATGCATCAATTAACATCTATAAAAATTTACATGAAACTGATATATAAACAGCTATAAACTTAAAAGCTCTTAACTGTTTATTAATCGTATGCTTTGTTCTGCCCAACAATGAACTCCTCAATATATTCTGTTCCTATTGTAGACAGGTTTCAATACGGTATTAGAACTTGCATAAGCCTGAATGTAAATGAGCATCTATTTTTCTTTCTTCATCACAATTATTCAGTGTGCATCCTATTTCAGTTACTTAGCATTTTAAGCTATTCTTTATTTTATTATCAACTTTATTTAAAAATAACTTACATAGGCTTTTAGTAAAAGTAAAGTTCCCTTTTTGAACCTGACCGCCCATGGAGCAAGTGAAGTCGAGTTCACTGTTTCTCTGGCCTCAGTATATGAAGGTGTAGTGTGGTCAGTGCCATGCCCAGCCACCTCTACTTTCCTTAATGTGAGTTAGATACCCATCAAAGCTGGGTGACTCAAGAACGTTAACTGAATTAAAGCCAGATTCGAACTCGCCTTTACACAATTATATATGAAATCATTTACTTTTTTTTTGTAAGTTACTAAATCTAGTAGGCAGTTTAACTTTGTTGCATACTATTTAGGCTATGATTGCTTTTTCTTTTCAAAACCATATTTTATACTGTCAGTTCCCTTTTATAGAGATTATAAGACATAGTGTTATAACAACAACTTAATGAAGCAAAGGTACAGACAAATAGTTATTGTAAAGACAGAAAAGTATAGTTAGTTCTAAAGCCTCCACTGCAAAATATATTGAAGTCCACAATGTATTCTCAAATCCAAGTTGAGCCACATGAATGTGGCCAACACTTTTTTTTTTATAATCTGCCTTGTGCCGGCTGACATCTCATTGGTCTCACAGCAGCCATTATTGTTTCCTTGAAATTATTTTATGTGGTGAAGGGAAGGGTTGGAGGGAAAATCAATGAGGACATAGAAATGGGTTATTTCTTTACTCAAAATCTTCAAGAAAGGAAGCAAAAGCTAATGCTTCACTTATTTAGGCCAATTAACTTAAAATCTAGATGCTACATGTAAAGACAGGTAAATTATTTAATAATATAATTTATTTAATAGGGGCGTTTTCATCTGCTAGTCCTCTAGCATATGGATCAATAACCCTAACACCATAGCCCTAACACGCCAACCATCACACTTGAAATTATCGATGTGCATGACTACTAAAACTCGATGCCAAGCCCGGTATACCATAACGGAAAATACCAATTAAACAAGTAGGCCTATATAGTGGCATGGTTTTTTCTGTTTCCATCTCCACATTGATCTGATGTGTGCGTGTGTAATCCGGGCCTGCATCAGTGGGGGGAGAGCCAGAAACTCGTACGCTTGGCTTGAGTTCACTGCCTTGTGTCAGGATCAGTTTATGCGGTTGTACCGATTTCCCCCTGTATCCCCTCCCTGACCCCCTGACCCCGTACTATCAGCCACGGTACTATCTGAGTGTAAACCGTTGATGCAGACGTGTTAAGTACATCTCGTCGGACTGGGGGATTTTTAAGCCGACAACGGATTTTTAAGCAGGGTCGAATCAGATGCATTTACATAGGAATGGGATATTTTTTAAAATGGTCATTGGCCAATGATAGCCAACTACTTAAGTAGGAATATAAAATGTTTTCTTTTTAAAGCACAAGGCAATGTTTTAAGGTTAAAAATGTGCTTTATAATTTTTTTTTATAGCTGGGTTACTCTTTATGCACAAACAAGGAGAGTTAGTGTTCGGGAATGGTAAAACGTGCAGTTTGGGAATATTAAACATAGATCTAGATATTTTTATTTTTCGAAAATTCTCTTTTGTCAAAATGAGTGGTGTTATTTTTAACGAATAAATGGTACGCAATTTACAATATTTAACATTTAATTCTTAACCCTTGGTAAACCAGACTACACTTTTCATAACTGTCACAATACGACACGTCAAGTCGAGTTAATATGCCTCTATGGTCACGGCACATGAAAAGACACAACGGCCATTACAGCCGTACCCCCGGCTGCCTTACGCTGATGATGTGTGTAAAATGTCACAACATCTCTTCAACGTCCACACGCAATCCAACGTTTAAACCTGGCATACAACGAGCTTTCAGTGTCATTTCTTTTTTAATGCCGTGTCACTGTCGGGGGAACCTTGCTATAAATCATTTAGACTGGTGCTGGATATGTGAGATAATAACCTTGTGGGTTTTTTTTTTTTTTAAACTTCACGGGCTACCATTACCACGTTTAAAAAAAACACCCAAAGCATTTGTGTGCATCATTCAATGTAGGGCCACTCCTTGATGCTGGCTAATCCACACTTCCCGGCACTGGCTAACGTTGTCCCACATCTCGACTGCAGTGTGTTTGAGCTGTACGGGAGACTGAGCTTATAAACTTTTTTTTTTTAATATTTAGACGGTGGTGAGGATGAAATGTGGATTTCTTCATATTACATTTAATAAAGCTTGAGAAAAAATACGGGGACCTAAGATCTTAATAGCTATTTAAAACTACAGTGGCACGTTGTAGCGTATACCCTCTGAAATTTTATAGCTAGAAAGAATGGCTGAACTTTTCTAACTAGAAATAGTTCAGTTAATATGCCTAATTTTAAAGACACCCCCACTCCACCCCTAAGAAAAAAAACCTTGTAAAACGTTAATATTTCTTGTGCTACTTGCACATGTCCACTCAGCCATGGGCTTACATTGAATGTGTTCAGCTGATTGGTTGTACTGTTGTGTTGCCTTCATTCATTGTCCATTTCATCGTGTAAAAAAAAAGTGCTTACGTAGCGTTCTCCGATAATCATAAAACTTGTCTGTTAAGTGTGTCGCTGCCTTTAACTAACGTAAACAATAGCCTGCCTGGGAGGTCAGGTGCAGCAAACAATCTGTAATACCACGTGCTTACACAATGAATCAGGCGGATAAAGCCCGCACGCTACATTCAGTACTTTGACCTTGGCTCGGCCCTGCACGGCCTGAAACCCCACCATCTATCGCTCTCTTGTCCTCTAATACGTCTTCTTTATCTTTGGGCCAGTATTTTCCAATTCTCAGACAAGCGATCTTTATAGAAACAGGAAAATTTGCCCGCGTACCTACGGTTACCATGTCTCTGTATTTGCTCAACATGTGGATGTAGGCCTAGAGCGTTTATCAATGTCCTTTCTGTTCTCTCTTATCAAGTACAAGAAAGAGAGATTAGACAGCTTGTTCAATTTTTGTTCCTTTGTATTTAAAACTAAGCACGGTGGGAATGCTTGTTGTGATTGTCTTTTCACGTGAAATCGTTGTTTTTAATAAGCTCGAGGAAAGACTTGTTGACTTAAAAAAGATGTATGTTTAGGCATACTTTTACACTACTTTTAGTTAGTGTTAAGTTTAAAACTGAAATAACAATAACACATTATTTAAGATCTAAAAAAAATGTTCTAAAGAAATAACCCCTTAATAAGATAAAATTTGGAATACATAGTGAAATAATCTAGACATACAACTAGCTGCCTCAATGTTAAAACGAATGGCCTTGCTCAAGAACCTTAAAGTCTTAAGTTAGAAGTTTGGAAGAGGTTATGTGATAACTCAATCTGGACACTGACAGCCAGGGAGGTTTTTTTATGTAGCGCATGAGAAACATGAGCCTACACTTCCGCCCATAATGATTGTAATTCTCTAAACCCTCCCTTGCCTTGGCTGGGATAAAGCTAGGCTAAACATTATGCACATCCCTTCTGTGCTGTGCCCCCCATCCCCTCCACATCAGCAGGCAGGCTGCACTTCTACCAGACATCGTTTACCTGAGTCCTTACAAATTCTATAAGCTCCATATGGTGCTATAAATAGAACTTCTGCTAGCTAGGGGGTGGGGGAGGTATTCAGCCTCACCATGTATTTTATTTTTCTTAAAATTTTTAAACACATTTATCACAAGTTGTTCAGCGTTACTTTTTGTTTAGCTGCTAGAATTAAAGTTTGAATTGGTTGAGCAATAGTTGAACAAAGAGAAGGCTAAGGCTGAATATAGACATCACTTTTCAACAGAATAAGCTATAGCTAAAACAATCTTGAAATATTTTTTCTTCTTCTCTGATGGATGTTCTCCAGACTGTAATTTTACCCTGTAACTGCCTTGCTGTTTTTACCCTCCCCACCTCCCATCTCCAATTAGATTCAAACCACATCCTGGAATTCCAATAGGATGTTTGCACCCTGTCTATGTATGTGTCTTACTTCCATGGTCACCTTGCATTCATCACTACACAAAACAACCAACATTGCAACATTTTAAAGAATTGCTATTTTTTTGTGCTATTTAAATGGTTTTGATGCAATATGAGAAATTAAATTTAAATTGTGTTATTGTAGTAACATGAAGATTTTTTTTTCATCTAGATATGAGCGTCATTACACCCCCAATGTTTCATTGGCCCCTTCGTCTGGTCAGAAATCTTCAGCTGAGGACGAAGATGAAGTTGAAGAGAAGCCAGTCATATCTGATCAGACAAACACAGACAGACAGCACATTTCACAAGGTAAAGCACCACCACTGGCTTCAAAATATGAGATGAACCAAAGCTCAATGGAGTATGACATACCTACAGACACAGATGATTCAAACATGGCCTCTCCTACTGAAAGTAAGCAGTTTATATTTACTAAACATTAAAGATAATTTGTTTTAATAAGAACTGTTCCTTCTTAAGAACAAGGATGTGTATGCTAAACACATTTTGTTTGATGATGCTTTGAAATGACATACATCTAGTATGAATTTTACTGCAAAACTGCCAAAAGGGCTTACAACTATTGTGTTGCTGCACAATTTAGAGGGGTCGGCGTGGTCGAGTCGGTAAAGCTCATGGCTGCTAAACCGAAAAGTCTCGAGTTCGAACCCTCGGGCAGATGAGGCTCGTTAGCTGGGGACAGCCACTCTTCTAGGAGAGACAACTCCAAAATTAAACAACTGCTGCCTTGTAGTTTGTTCTTGGTCGGGCAAAGGCTATGGAAGCAAATCCAAAAAGAAAAGCAGGCTGAAATCGGAGTCAATGGCCTCAATGGCGCATAACCAGTTGACACGTAACGCTTAATTGTGTTGGAGGCGTGGTCGAGTCGGCAAAAAGCTCATGGTTGATAAATTCGAACAAAGTCTCGAGTTCAAACCCACTGGCAGATAAATCTCGATCCCCTTCAACACTAATAATTAAGAACGAAGAAGAAGAAGAAGAAGAGGGAACATTATTTATAATTATGATCATACGTTTATAGTATTTGTTTAAAAATGTCTTAAATATGTTTGCCTGATTATTGTTCAACAGGTCTCTGAAAATATTTGAAAGGTTTTTTTAATATATGTGATTGACAAAAAATTATGTACATTTATTACAATGCATACATGATTTTTATTTCCAGGTTGTAAAGATGTTACACTTTCTGACTTACCAGAGTTTGAGAGCACATTGGAAAAAGAAATGGAAATGGTGCGTTCGGCATTGAATGCTAAAGTAGAGCCCACTTCAGAGTCACATGCCAGATTTATGCAAGACTTTTCTAAGCTCAGAGCCAAGACAGAAGAGAATATTCAGTATTTGTTGAGGATTATAACTCTCACAAAAAGGGTGATTTACAAGTTTTGTACTAAAAAAAAAATTGTTTAAATTTTCAGATAAGATATGATCTATAATGCACATAAGTCGAGCTTATTTATTTCTATGACTTTCTTATATAAAGTTATTGTGTGGTCAAAACATCTAGCTGCCTTTAACTTTCCGGACTCAAATCAAGTACTCTAGAATTAGATGGCCTCAGGGATATTTTACTCCTTAATCAAGTATTTGAACTCTGACCGATTAGGTTAGCAGTCAATTACTCCAGCAATTGACCACACCTTTTTCAGGAAAATCTCAAGTTATCAAAAATAAAGTACCCTTATGGTTAAAAGGTAGATGGAGTAAACCATTTTAAAGTCTGAAATTTGTTAAAACTGAAAATAAGTACATGTTTTTTTATGTACATAACTTGTTTATTTCAGGAGTTGGAGATGAGCCGTATGCAAAACTCAGAACTTGAAGAAGTGATTAACAAGTCTGCTAGAGACCTCCGGAATGCTGTTATAGATAAGGATTACGCTTTGGAGCAGGCTAGAGCTCAGAAAGAATTGAGTAAAAAGGTACATATTATTTTAATTCCTATTTGTAAAGGAGAATAATACTATAGTAAGTAAAGTGAAGTTCCCCTTCCAAACCTGATGGTCTATGGGGCAAGTGAAGTATGATTCATCTGTTTCTGTAACCTCTGCATATAAAGGGATAGTGTGGTCATCACTATGCCCAGCCTCCTTTTCCTAACATGAGATAGGTACCCATCAGAGCTGGATAGACTCAGGGACGGTCTATTGACTTAAACCCTGATTTGAACTTGAGACTTACGCTAGGCCGCTCCATCCCTTTAATAATATCGTTATTTAATTTGAAAAAAAAATCAGTAGCAGTTATTATTAATTTATTATTTTATGTTTGTTTTTTAAAGGTTAAAATGTTTTATTAATTTTAGAAAATGCTTTTTTGTTTTGCTGAGACTCAGCTTTAGTTGTTCTTTATGTGTTGTAAAAATACTTCATTTTTATTCTTTCTAATAACAGTTGGATCAGGATTTAAAGGATAGACTGCATAATATGGAAGCTCTATACAGAGAGGTGTTAAATGAAAACAATTCTCTCAAGCGTCAGTTGGAATTTGTGGTCAAGCAGTCATCTCACGGCAAGTTTAATTCAAGCGGTGATAAAAACTCTAGGTTAAGGATAGCATTAGACCCATCGCTTCCTCAAGATTTAGCCAATAAGCAGCATACTCTGGAAATCAAAAGAGAAAAAGACATCACAGTGGATTAAGAATGCAGACATGTTCATTCACCGAAGCCTGGATTAATACAAAACTGGACTGAGGTGTATTCACAATGACGTTTTTCTATGAGAATGAAAAAAATGGATATACAAAAGAAAACTGTTATGTGTCACTTCCACTGAAGAAATCAAGAGGTATATAACATACCAGTTTTATCTCTTTAGTCTAAAAGACAATGTGTGTTGGACTGGTAATAATTTTTTTTTAAATGTGTTCTATTACAAAGTCAGTGTTTGACGAAGACACCTTTGTGAAAGTTAGGTGACAAAAGAGAAATGGCTGTGGGATTTTTTTTTTTTACTGAGATTTTAAAAAAAAATGAAAATATTTTGTTTAGTGTTGTTCAGCTACTAAAGAAAAATGTCTTGGTGTTTGTGCTCTTAAATATACAAATATGTTACTATTGTGATTGGTTCTGTTTAAAAAAGACAGAAATATTTTTTTCATGTTTTTGTTTTGCATGCATATGAAAACTATTTAATTTTTCCCCCCATAATTTAGAGAATTTAATAATGTTACCATCTTCATTATGCCGCTAAATACAAACATCATCAACTTAACATTGCACGTTGTCTCCCCATTCAAGCATTATAGAACTTTGGACCTCTAGTGGTAAATGGCAATTTGTGAATAATTTTGTAAATAAATTGTTCTGTGGTACAGCTTTAGTGTATCAGTAAGTTCCAGATTAAATTTGAAAGGCAAGTATTAGGATTGGTATATGTTGCTAGGTAATTTAAACTGGTATATTAAGATTAGGTATACTTATTTCTTAACAGCAGGTCTGTTTATGAATTAGAGATAGAATAGCTGATATGGTATGCAATATGAGCTTTTGCTTTCAGTGGAGTAAAGAATTGAATGCCAGATCAGTAGAAAGATAAAAAAATTTAGACTTGCTACTAGTTTCTGCTACCACCTGAAGTTACAATTTTTGCTTAAAGGGAGGTACATTTTTAAATTTATTGATACACACTTCCATGTTTTTTTTTTCTTCATTGTTGCTGAGTGCTGCATTAGCTAGCATTATAATAGGGCTTTTATTACCAGAATACCTCATAGTTCAGAATTAATTGTGACAATTGCTCACAGAGCAAGTTTTGAAAATTTCCTTGTCTTCATCTATATTTTTTTTTTCCAGTCTTGCAAATTGGATTGTTGTTGGTTTAAGAAGTTTATTGATATTTGAATGCTTGTAATTCTGACCTCAAGTACAATGTGCATAATACCTAATTTCAGTTGAAGTAAACCTGTGTTGTGTTGACATTGAGAACTTTTTTCTGTACACAGTTTTTAAAAAGTAAAAAAAAAAACAAGTATTGCCCTTTATAAATTAAAATGCAACTAAAACAATTTAAAAATATTCAATGTTGCTATGTACATTTATAATCTTAAGGATGAAGGAGCTATCATCAAGATGGTCAAACATAGCAGTTTTATATATTTTATTTATTTATGAAATTATATATAAAGCTGCTATTTCTCTATGAATGTGCCAAAAGTTGCCCCTTGTATCCGGTGATTATGTCAGCTTGGCTGCCCACAATTCCACATGCAGTGGTGGCTGTGTCAGGATGTATCATTTATTAGGGAAAAATATAATCTTAACTCTTGTTGAGCCTCTGAACTATGTTTTACGTAAGGCAGTTAAATAAGCCGATCGTTGATATTCATGTGCCATAGTCAATGTATTTTGTTTTTATTCTTTTAAATTCCTTAATATATTATTTTATTTTATAAGCCTTTGTTAAACTAATAAATCTTACCTATGCCTGCCATGTTTTAGTTTTAAAAAATTGTCAGAAACTTGATAGAAGTTCTGTTTCACATTAAGGCCAAGGCTATCCTACTCTTTTTAAATGTCTATATAGATGTGAATAGCTAAATACAGTACTCAGAAGTTTGAATCTCAATTTTTTCAACATAGGAAAGAAAAAAAAAAACTAAGGAAATTAAATTTTAAAAAAAATGCAGACTATTTATTGTAAAGCCTACAAAAACAAATAACTTTCCTATGTGATTTCATCCCAACTGTATCAAAGATTCTTTTATCTATTTTCTTTTATTCTCAAGCTGTTGTGCACAAAATTGGAATTTCATTTTTTCAGTTAGCCAAACAAATTTCTAAGATGTCAAATATCTGTATTTAAGTGCACTATTGTTTTTATTCCATGACTTTTCTATATCTTATATTCCATTATCTCTATGATTAATCTTGCTCCTATAGGCTTTAGGATGTGTATAGTGTGTAAATAGTATGAAAGCTGAGCCATACACCAAAATGCACTCGTGTAGTGTGTGTTTGGTTTACTTTCTCTGGTGTAAAACACTATCTTCTTCAAGCACAACAGCATTTATCATCTTCTTTATCTAAGACCACACTCAAATGTTTCCATATCATTTTTTTTTGTTAAATTATTGTTTGCAATTTAAATAGCTTTACAGATTATGGGAATTATGTCAATGTTTGCTTCATTTTTCCAGGTCTGGATTTGTTAAGCAGAGTTAACTGAAGTTAACAATTCTTTTGCATTTAATATGTATGTTAAGAGCTAAAAATTGATTGCATGTAGCTTGTGTTTATATTTAGCTGAGCTGGTCTTCATCATTTCAAATGTCGGAATTTGGTGTTGTGCTATAGCATATTAATGTATCATTTTTTAAAATCTTCCATTTATGAACATAGAAAGTTTGTCCACTGGAGCCAGTCAAATTATCAAGCGAGCTGTATGTACATAATGTCATGATTTTATTAGCAGTCAACTTGCAGCCTTGAAGATGAGTACAGTTGTCATAGGTTAACTTAATTGAATATTTTTCATTTTAAAACTATTTGCTTCATATAAAGATGATACATTTCATATTTTAATTTTAAATTGATTTGAAAATGACTGATAAGTGTTCAGTATTGATCATTATATGTACTTATTTTGAATGTTTTATACAAAAGATTTCTCTAATGTAGTGTCTGTCCATCTTAAAAGTTCACATTGTTTTAAAGCTCACACTATTCTATTAATCAGCCTCAATTTCATTTGTTACATTTTTTATTACACCAGGATACGTGTCATTTGTTCAAATGGGCTTACATTCATTCTTAGAAGCTGTACATTTCTTGTAAATTTGTTTTCATTGGCCAGTATGTAAAAATTGAAAATGTATCATCACTTTTACATTTTAAAAAAAAATGGCATTGGATTGCTTCTGTTTCTTCCAGTACATTATTTCATCTGTCTACAAAATTGCCACATCATTTTATTTCATGGGTCAGTTAAATTGTTGGGACTTGGTCCTGCAATATTCATTTTACAGATGTCTTTGTGAGAAAGTCAATTACAAATTACCTAAAAATGGCTGCTTTTTATGTTTTGAAAAAGAATATATTTTGCATGAACAAATTGCTTTGAGATGTGTATATTGCTTATTTTTCCACATTTGTGTCAAACTATACCATTTTCAATGCATAGCACAATAAGGAAATGGATACTCTATGTAGGTTGTTTTTGTCCTCACAAGTTGTTTTTTTTTAAAAAGAACTCGTGAAGTATGAAGTAATTTTATAATGATAAAATTAGCTCCATACAAAAATGGTTCTGTTAGTTTTACAATTTTCTTATGACTGGTTCTGTGAATGCAGTTTCTTAAAAAAGTAACATACATTATAAATGCCACAAAACATTCTTTGTTACATGTTTTGTAAGATGTAAGTAATAAATTAAAAAAAAAACACAGCAACATTTTTGAAACTTAAAAAAAAAAATTTGCCATTGGTGGTTGTAAGTAAAATGTGATTTTTAAAACAAAAAGTTTTATATTACTAATTAATGTCCTGTAAATATAAAATTTTATGTAAATTATGATAGATATTTTTCTTAATAAATATTTTTTCCCATTGTGTTTTCTGAAAAAAGAAAATGATTTTAATAATCTGAGTTTTAAATGGGAATTTCGAATTAATTCACCTGGATGTTCAAATGTTTTATTTATTGATAATTTATTTTGCTTAGTTAACTAAATTCAGTCTGAAACAGGCGCAAAAAGATTATTTTATTTTAACATTATTGTGGAGCTTTATCATTGTTGCAACACTCAATTCTGATGCCTTTGATTTTTTTTTGATACAGAAAAGAAGTAATCACAAATTCCCTATCATTAAAATAGGTCTCTACATATACTTTATATTTTTAGATGCCTCCTGTGATAAGAAAAATGACTTAAAGTTTTATTAGTTTCCTTTTCATGTGTATAAGATGATACATGTTGGCATGAAAAATTCCAGAGAACTAAACAAAATTTGTAGAAGGGAGTGAAAATGTTGACTATTTTTTTTAAAATTGTATCGTGGTTGTGTATAGCTTAACTGTTTACTATGTGACATATTTTACTATGTTTCCGAGCATTATTTTATTCATCATACCATTTTAGCTAGTCTTTAATTTTTCAAAGCATGAAGGAAGTCTTAAACAGCAAAAAATGTGTTTCAAAACATAAATGATCAATACTTTTTTTTTTCCAATTTCATTATTTATAATATTCATGGTTTAAAAGTATATTGGTAAATTTTTACACCCAGAAAGTTTTCAAAAGAAAGCGTAACTTTTCTTATTATAAGAACAGTGGATATTGTTAGAGTATCATTAAGAGAATGTCAATGGGTCAGTGTGACGATGTCACCTGAGGTTAAGTGTCATGTTATATAGAGATGTTTTATTCTATTAAAACTGCATCTGTATTATTTTACAGCTCTTTGTCAACAAGAGCAGTCAGTGTTGTGCAGCAATTGTGTTTCACTTCCTCATGATGATTTTTCTTTTCATCAAGTCTTGTAACATAAAAAAAAAACTTATGCATGGTGGCATTGTTTGAAGATTTATACTGTATTGTTACATAAGGCAAGACATGAAGAATTATTAAGAAATCCCAGCGTTTTGTCTCTCATTATAGCAGATGTCTTAATTGGTTACTATATTCCACACATATAGGAGGTACTACACAAATCATTTACTACTGTAGAATGAATTAAAAGGTTTTTAGTTCTATTTTGATGTAAAAAAAAGTCTGTGATAAATCTGGTCAAAAACATCTTAGGTGGTAAACATTGTGTACATGATACAACCAGAATTGACAAGTCATTTGCCTTTTTTCCCCAGTCATCTTCTGTTTTAGAAAACATCTTTAAAATAAAATATGGTGTATTGATAATTAAAGTTAAATTTATTTTTAAAATTACAATTTGATTTTTTAAGATTATAGATTTAAAAGATCAAGATATTTCTTTGTTTTTACAATGCTGATAGACTTTTAAAGGCTTTCCACACCACTCCACTAAGTAATGAACTATTTCATCAGATGTTCAAAGGCTTGACAAAACTGGTTGTCCATTGCTTAGTATTTGCTTGAGTATAATTTCCTGTGATCTGATGGTCGTTTTGTTTACAGGTTGCAGTCATCTTCAATATTTATTTACATTTGTATAAAATATCTCCTATCCCTATTAAGAAAATTCTAATAGTTAAAAAGAAGCTATTGATAGTTAGAATTGGTCTCCGCAGTCCATCAACATAGATATCCGGGAATGGACTTTAGAAAAAAGAAAGCATGTATGATTATACGTGTTTAGTCTATATTTTAAGTCTTTTTTTTTTTTAATATTCTGTTGTTGCATCTTTGTTAATTAAATATTCATTATGCATAGATTTTACATGTTTGTTATTTATTTATTTATTTAAATGTTTTGTTTATTCAATAACTTCATAAAAACAAAAACCCAAACTATTAATCAACTCATTTATTAACAGTACAATATTCATTGCTGAAATAACAAAGGGTCATTTTATAGAGATATTTTAAAAACTTATCTCTTTAAAAAAATTGCATAGTAATGCACCAACAACCAATATTATATAATAATTATAGGTAAAGTGCAATGATAATTTCTTTTTAAAAAGTCTACATTAAGTTAGTAAACTGAATTATTTTTTTATGACCTTTTAAAAATAAAAAAACTTAATTTACAAAAATTTTAAAATACTGTAATGAGAATTTATATCTTCAAATGTGTAATAATTGGACTGTCATAGCTAGCCCATATGATTTTTGGTTATCTGAGAGTCCAAAGCTTGTCTGGAGTAGGGATCAATGACAATGCAACCATTTAATTAGCAGAAAGTATATAAAGTAAATCCATCACCTTTCTTGACACTCCACCATGTAAGTCAAACAAAAGTCTGAACCCCTCTCGCTCATGCTGCGCTTTTTTCACTAAAGTGTGAACTCACCCTTCCTAATCTCTTCCTCTCTCCCCAAATGTGTGATTTAATTTACGAATAGCCCATTAAGGAGATAATTTACTAGGAAAGTTGGACAAAGGTCAGCTTCATTGTCCAAGCAGAGTCAGCAGTTGTGATAAAGTATAAATACTACTTGACAAGGCCTACCCTCATTATTTTAGTGGCTAGGCTATAACTGGAATTATGTTTTTTTGCCAAAAAAAAAGATCTAAAGAGGCCTCAGTCTTCATTTATGTCCTATTGTTTTATAGGGTAAATTATGTATCAATAATATAAATATGACTGATGCACAACTGGTTAAGTATTGAGCAATTACAGCTGAATTTTTTAAACAGATTGTTTAGTGATTCATAGGCACACTTAACTTAGATTTTAAAGAATAAATCCATTTTTTGGAATATAACCAATAGTTCCTTGGTACTGATAGATTTTTCTGTTAACATCTAGATCTACATTGTTAAAAAATGCGAGGTAACAATAGGTTATAACATCTTATACACTCCCCAAAAACATCCAGTGAATAAGTATTAAGGCTTAAGATTTGTATAGCCCTGGGAAAAAGCTAAACTTATGTCTCAAAGTGTCTTTTTTTAATGGCATCTGTTTCTTGCCAAACTTTGTTTCAGCTCTGCTCACCAGAGAATGAACCTAGAAGAAATATTTGAAATGAAAAGTTCAGTAAGTTGGAATTGAAAATTCATTTATTTTTATTTTTTTAAGAATCTCTAAAATAAAATTTAAAATAAACCGGGAGTAATCTCCCCTAAACTTTCTCGAATATTCTTATATAACTTGGAATATAGACATGATTTTTAATTACTTAAACTTTTAAAAATAGAATAGAATCTCATAGAAAAAAGAATTGCGCACCAAGCGAACGCCAAATAAAGATGTGCATAATAGTGCGCAATATTATTAGTACTTTATAAATTTACATGCATTTTTTTTTTGAGAAATCTGAAATAGCGTAAATTAGTACTTCCTCTGTCAACAGAAATTACTCAAAATTTGACAGAAGGTAGAGAATTAGATCTTTTACTCACATGTGAAATTTCATTTATCTATCTGAAATAGTACTCAAGTTATAGGCTGTTGAAAAATTCAAAGTAGAAAAAGTACCACTTCCGGTTTTCGGAAATCGCTCAAAAGTTGATACGGATCTACGATTTTGATAAAATACTTATATATGAAATTTCATCAACCTAGCTGTAACGGTACTCAATTTATTGTGTTTACACACAGACAGACAGACATACGGACACGATTGCAAAATTATGTTTTTCCGTATCAATGAGGTGTAAAACGTCGAGATTTATAAAAATCTCGATTTTTTTTTTTGCGCGATTACAAGACTTTCTCTATACTTCGTATATACGAGAAAGTAAAAAAATAGAATAAAACCTTAATTTTAATCAAAATTAAAATGACTTGAAAATTTAAAAAATAATTGTAAAAAAATTTGCCTGTAATAAACGCATAGGTTGATAAAACAATAAATGGATTTCAAGAGCAACCAATGCTTTGTTTTTTTTTAAATTTATTTTTAAAACTCCAAAGCATTTGAAAGCTTATCATTATAAAGGTTTTTTAATATTTATTTTACTTTCTATTTTTTAAGTAATTCATTCTGAATGAAGACTAAAAGTATTTGCTTTATTTACAACCCAACCAGTAGCATGTGATTTCTATAAGACAATTATCTGCCCATTTTTAATGCTCGTGGTTGCCCTCAGGCTTGAAACCAACTGTCTTTTGACCAACAGTTCACTGCAACCGGGCAGATTGAGTGTCGCATAAGATTAATCCTGTTGTTATCTCCCCTTTTATTATTAAATTTAGCAATCTTTACGTTTATTTTTTATGGCTAATTCAATATCTAAACTTTAATTAGATTAAAAATCAAATATTTTCAACTAGTCATAACAATAGTTCAGCCACCTTTATTGTCCACATTTATCACTCTCATTGCATCACAAAGCATACGATCAAGCAAAAAATCTGACATGGTACAAAGGTTGGCGTTGAAGCAAAACATTAATACACAATGTGGACGGACAAGGCAGTCAGAGGAAAGATAAATTATCTTATAGTACTTTAACATGTTGTAAAGATCAAAGTCAGATTATTATTAAAAACCATAATGCTTTTACAGTTTATAATTATGTTACTAAAAATACCACCCATATAAACACCCAAAATTTTACAATTTTCAAGAATTAAATCAAAATGTTTCTTAATAAACATTTGTGACTAATTTCTTGGACTTACTTTCTGTGATTTTTTTCAGATAAAATTTCTCCTTTGTGACTTTTTCTGTGTTTTCTTCCCTGTGACTTTCTTTAGCTGAGTGGACTCAGGGACGTCCTATAGTCATAAGTCCGATCCGAGATCGGAACTCGAGACTTACGGGCTAGTAGCCAAATGTCCTATATCCAAATTGGTAATCTAATGGAATGATATATTAAAAAATCACCTGCAATGAAAACACTTACCAAAGTTAGAAGTTCTTGAATATCACAGCAATGTGCAAAGTTGGCAAACACATATACAATGGCTTGAATGAACCAGGAGCCAATTGTTCCAATACGCCAGGATACATTGTCTGATAATAAATTTGTTGCACAAAAAATTATTATTCATTGTTCTAGTCTTGAGACTGGAGACATTTTACTTATATACTGTTCATAAACTTTGCTCTGCATCATATTTTTCCCCTCAACCCCCCCCCCCCCCCCGATGTTACATAGGTGTTAAATTGTGTTTTATGACTTTCTAGACTTTAGAAAAGAGAATTACTGCTTTGTTTAGCATTTTCCCATACCCAGCAATTCCTTACCGTTATACTTTAAACTTCTTTTTTTAACCATTCTAAAAACACATTAAACGATTTCCCAAACAAGCCTATGGGAAATTAATAAAAATCCCATTATTGTATGTGCATTGAACACAAACCTGATGTTGTCGATAAGGAAAATAAATAATCTGCATGTGTTGGTATCTTATCCCCATCTGAGACTTCTTCAAATTGAAGTTCTTCTACTAAATCTGCAATACTAGCTCCATTTGAGCAGGAATCTGACTTCTCGTTTTCATGGCCTGTGTCCCTATTTTCTGAAAATACATTCCAATTAACCTGGTGACAACTGTGTCAAATGGATTTCTCAAATATTTAAAGTAAGAGGTGTTGAGATTATTGTAAATGTATGACATGGTCTGAAGTACTTACTTCCACGACAAGCCTGGATAAAGAAAAGTTTTGGTTTATTGCGAAGTGTGCGACTCACACAAAATGTGTTTCTAATATCTTTGTGTGTTATTAAGTTTTTGGATGACTGCCCATCAGTTCCATAAATACCACTTGTGGTCCCATGTGATAAAATCACCAATATGAAACAATCAAATTTGCTGTGGTCAATTTTACTTTCTTCATCCATGATCTTTACCATTTCCTATTAGAGCAGAAAACAAAAATCAGATTAGTCTTACATGCAATATTGTAAGAAATTAATATCAGCTGAATTATTTATGCAGTTAGTAAAACAAACAAACAACTAAACAGAAATAACAAAATATAATTTGACACAATGTTTGTAAGTTGACCTAGATCTATATAAAATATTGTGCAGGAGTGACTGCCCACTTGAATAAAAAATTATAAGGGTAAATAGACCTCTCACTTAATAGAATATTCTTAAACACCTTTTCAGGTTTCAGCTTTATTATTTAAATTTCATTTAAATTTTTTAAAATGAACTTAAAATATCAATCTTCCTAGATTCAGTGTAAATTAAAAAGAAACTACACTTAAATCTAAAATTAAATTATTTTTTAAAAACCTTTCCAACATATTTAAATTATATGTAACACTAAGTGCAACCAGGTACGTTCTAAATACCCCCTGAGGAGGTATTACATTTTAAATAAAGTTTAAAATCATTTTTAAACAATAAAAAAAAAAAAAGCACAAGCTTTGAAACTTCAGTAGCTTACAGCAAATCAGATGCAAGTTTAAAACACATACACACCTCTTTAGTCTTGTTGTATTGGACACATACTTCAAAAAAAAGCTGCTGAAAAATATTTTTAAGGGCATCTGAGTCCTGTTTTGTTCCATGCCTCTTGTCAAGATGACAAAACTCTTCATTGTCAATTATCAACACCCTGCCCCTAGGATTGTGAATCATCGGGTACCAACTCTAGACAGGTGATTTTAAAATTTGCATTTATTATTTACAAGACAAGTAAACACAGATTCTAGTGTTAAGTGTAAGTAGGCCCATAGCTATCTCTGATGTGAATTAGACAATTAGAAAAATGTGTGTACTTTTTCATAAAGATGATATTATTTTAAAACTTTTCTTTCCAAAATACATACTACAGAGAGACACAAAAATTTCCATTATCTCTATGATTCATAATGCTTCTATAGGTTTTAGGATGTGTATAGTGTGTGAATAGTATAGAAGCTGAACCATACACCAAAATGCACTCATGGTAGTGTATGTTTGGTTTATTTTCTTTTCTTTTAAATTTATGTTTGCAATTAAACAATTAAAATAACTTTACAAATTATGGAAAATATGTTACTGTTTGCTTGATTATCCCAGGTCTAGCTAATGGTATTTATTATCTAATACACAGTTTAACTTATCAATATAGCATATAAAAATTTAATTTTTATAAAACTATTGTGTGTTTATGTCTTCATATTAATATAAATTTTAGCTTTGATTAAAACAAAATGCTGAAAAATAATCTGCTGCCACAAGGATGTGAAAAACAAAAACCAACCTGGCATTGCCTTTCTGAAGTCTTGTTAAACTCTGAATGCATATCTGAGTTTTCAATTATTTTTCTCACAGTTACATTGGTCAAAACCTCTTTCAAAGGCCACTCTAGTTGATAAAATGAGAAATTATTAACAGAAAATTCTTTCAAAATATTAACTAAGCTGTGTAATTATTATTGCAATTTGCAAAAAAAAAATTCTCTAAAAAAGGTGATATGAATACTAAAACTCAGTTTTAAAAAAAGCATTTTAAAATGCAAAGTGTGAGATCGCACATTTTGAACTTACCCTCCTCCTTGTCCCACATAGTGGGAAAGTCCAAACCTCCCTTACCCTAGATATGCATTATTTATGGACACTCTCTAACTATATGTACTACTCATCAGTAGAGTATTTTTAATATAATTATACTTTTTAGGCCATCTGGTAAATCAGCTTATGAAGGGATTGTAAAAAATTTGTAATATTATTCTTGCAGAAAACATTAAAATATTTTACAATACAATCTGTTTAAATAAAAAAATTTCTTCCGGGTAAACTTTCTTTGCCAGTCTACATGATACATCATTATAAAAGTGGTAGGGATCTAGGCCTGCCCATCTAGACTTTTTTAGTATTGTGAGAAATGGATAATGCCTTAATGGTAGTCATAAACAAAAAAAACACCTAGGGGAAGAAAAGGTGGGGTAGGGTGTCAGACTATAATGATAATGTGTGACAAGGGAAAAGGGAGAGTGAGATTTCATGAAATGTGATGACACAATTTTACATTTTATAAAGTAAACTTATAAGTAAAATTTTTGCTCTAACTCTGAACTTTTTACAAACTTTTTTTTGTGTGATATGTAATAAAAAAAATTATCTTCTCTATGATGACCAAGATGGGTAAATATTACAACAGAAATCACTGTTTAAAAAGAAAAAAATAGATTTTTGAATGGAATAGTTGGCTGAGGTGTGATGTCATTTTAGAAGGGGGGAGATTGATTTTTACAATGACGGGTGAGGTAAAAATTGTTTTAATAAGTGCGTTGTCATTTATGGATGACTCCCAAGTGGTTCAGTGACAATTTTTTTTTTATGAAAACAGCTTAAGAATGGGGCATACACTTTTTAAATCTACCTGTCCCAAAATTTAAATCTTGATGAATAAGTTGACTTTAAAATGTATAATGGTAACATTAAGACATCAGTATGTATATGTAATAGAACATAAGCTTGAAATTACCTTTGGGTAACATAGACAGATAGTCATTACTCTCTTTAGTTTGACCAGCCATACTTTCATCCACGCCATCAACACCATCAGGCTTTTTCCAAAGTGATTTATTTCCTGGCTTCAGTATTTCAGCAGCTGCAAAGATTTCTGCATCCACTAATGCTTGGTAGAGCGCATCAAAAGCATAGGGCCCTCTAGTAACAATCAGGTCTAGGAGATATTCTGTTTTTTTACTATTGGTATTTCTTAGCTGTAAATGAGTTAACAATTTTTAAAAAGATGAAAATAACTTACCCCATTACATTAGATTTAAGTTAAGCTTACGATGTTAAACTTTTTGAAAGATCTCTATTATTTCAAATGTAGCCTACATGGATCGTCAGGATAGCATGGTCGAATAGTAGAGCTGCCAGCTTGAAGATCTCAAATTCGGAGCTCAGTTTGAATTTGTGACCATAGGATGTCCCTAACTCCACCCAGATCTAATTGGTATTTAACTTACATTAGGGAAGAATCTTGATCACCAATGCTAAAACAGTAATGCTTTATGGTTCAGAGACCTGGAAGGTTACCAAAACGACAGCCTGCAGTCGTTTACAAATAGATAAGATGGCCAGACAAATATCCAATAAAGACCTATGGCAAAACACAACAGTGAATAGACAGGAACAACAAAGTATGCTAAAGGGAATGGATAACATCAAGAGGAAAGCATTAGACTGGAATACCCATAGGAAAAGGAAAGTAGGCCATCCAAGGATATCCTGGAGAAGAACAGTAGAATTTGAGGCAAGGGTTGCCAGGCCTATGTAGGCACAAAAGAGAAACGTTCAAAACTGAGTATGATGGAGAGGTGTGGATGCAGCCCATTGCCCCTCAGGGGCCACAAAAGAATTAGTCAAGTAAATCAAGTAATATACCCAATGAATGGCTAGATCTAAAGAGGAATATTTACTAAATGAATAATTTTAATTTCTACAGATATTTTGATTATGCTAAAATAATCTGGCTTTTGTACCTCTTCACTCATGATGTCCTCATGCATACGTTCAGTTATAATATTATTATTTTTGAGTTGCCTGGCAATGAGATGCACATATTTTGAAATCTCTTTCACCAAGATGGCATCATTTTTTTTAATGAGACATTTGTGTTTTTGTTCCATTACTTTGCAGCAGTTTTAAGTCTAACAGGAGGCACTGGTCTATCTGTCAAAATAAAGTTAGATGTAAGAAACCATTAAAGTGTTACTGTGAAACAATATTCGTGATTACTTTTTGAGAAATATTAAGAATTACAGAAATATATATATATATATATATATATATATATATATATATATATATATATATATATATATATATATATATATATAATATTAAAATATGATATATATATATATTATATATACATATAGATATATATTATAATATTATATATATATATATATATATATATATATATATATATATATATATATATATATATATATATATGCCTATATATATATGCCTATATATATATATATGCATATATATATATAGGCATATATATATATATATATATATATATATATATATATATATATATATATATATATATATATATATATATACATATATACATATATATATATATATATATATATATACATATATATATATATATATATATATATATATATATACATATATACATATATATATATATATATACATATATATATATATATATATATATATATATATATATATATATATATATATATATATATATAATATATATATCAACTTAATAATACACTTACTAGAAATCTAAATTCTAAATAGTAGGCCTATAGCTATAGTGTATAGATAGAGTACTATAGACTATACTTAATATTAAGTACTAGAATCTAGAATCTAGTAAGTAGTAGGCCCTAAATACTAGATTCTAGATCTAAAATCTAGATCTAAAAATCCTAATTAATAATTAATAAATTGAGCCAACTGTGTTTTTAATAAAAAATAAATTTGAAATATTTCATTACACATCATTACACTATTTTGGCAAGCTAAAGGAGAAAATGATTAAATAAGGGCAGTAAGGCTTAAGGTCGTCGTTAAGGATATGCTATCACTTCACTACAAGGCTTTTCTATACCAATATTGTAATAATATTATTCTAGTTAGCCTAGACCTAGAATTTACATGCGAAAAAATTATTTCCTATGGACAACACTGCCTCAACACCGATTAATATGAAGATAGGCGTAGCCTATTAATAAATTTAAGTTTTTCCGAAAACATAAATTCCGGTGATTTTGTAATTTGTATTGCATCGGTTTTATCCCGGACTTTAAAATATAGATCTAGATATTGAAAGAAAAATTATTTATAAAATATGTCTAGAGTTTAGGTCTATTCGCTCTTTCCTCCCCCCCCCCCCCCCCAATGATCTGACAAGGCCTAATCTACTAGATTAAAGTTTGAATCGTTCTATCTGTAAACATTGATTAAGGAGATGCTCATCATATTCAAAGGGATATAACCAAAATAAAAATGATTATAGATTATAGTGTAACATTTGTTTTTTTTTAAATAAGAAAATTTCAAACACATATAATTATTTGCTGCTATTTGATGTTTGCTAGCTGATCGATTTAGACGCAAATTTTACAAATCACTATTTAATATGGTAAATTTGAGCTAATCAGCACTCTTGTAAAATTACAAGGAGGGGGGGGGGCACTTGTAAAAGTATGTTTACTATATATAAATTCCATCTCGTCCGGGGGGGGGGGGGGGGCGGTAGACTTTCTTCGGGGTGGCTCTGCCCCCCCCCCCCCCCGCTCAGTCTATAGATAGAATCTATATATAGTACATGATGGGGGGGGGGGTGGGGGGGGTAGGCTGGGTAAAATTGTCAACAACAAAAAAATAACAATGCCAAGATTCTCAACTCTAATGCAAACTAGGTATGTGTGAAAATATGTCAAACTAAAACATACATTCTAACTCTATAAATATTTTACATAACAAACCATTAAACCTTTACATTTTAAGGGACACTGCTAAGATTTTTCGTAGGTATTATGTAACATTCACATTGTCTCATTATTAGCCTCTTATTTTACACCGCAGCTTACATGATATATAAGGGTTCTAATATAATATATAATTTAAAAAGTAAAAGAAATGATAGCAACCATGTATTTGTAGCATTTAGCCATGAGGGGGGGGGGGTCGTCGTCCATAAATGACGTCACACTCGTAGGGGGGTCCGTAATTTTGTGACGATGTGTGATGAGGGGGAGGGGGGTCAGATGGTGCGACGTCAAACTTTTACATTATAAGAAAGCAATGTTTGAAAACACAAATTTTAGACGTTATTTCGCATTTTAGAAAACTATTTTAATAAACTGTAATAGGAATTGATTAAAATACTCTATTTTGACAGAGTTCAGACAAGATTTTGGAAAAATATCGATGTTTTAAAAAAATTCAAGTGCAATTTTGAGGGGGGAGGGGGGTGTATGAGGGAGGTAAAAATCGTCAAAAAAGCGTGACATCATTTAAGGATGACCCCCCCCCCCCCTAAGCCCTACTACTTATAATTAGTGAACATGATGTTTGACTGGTAATCAGAAAATCTAGAGTTCAATAACGTAACTGAGTCCACCCAGCTCTAATGGATACCTGACTCACATTAGTGAAAGTAAAGGCAGCTGGACAAAATGCTGACCACAATATCCCTTTATATGCCAAACTCTACTTCCCCCATCCCATGAGACCCAGTTTCAAAAGGGTACTTTTAAAAAAATTAGCTGATGGGTTAGGTCTCAAGTAATACAGGCCTGAATATTTTTGGAACAGTTTTTAGAAAACAAAAATAAAAAAAACAACACCTTTTTAAAGTTTTATATAACATATGTAAATTTATTTACCAAAATTAAGATTGTTCTGTAAACATTGATTAATTTTTTTTTTTATTTTCAATATTTTTTCCTATTGACACATACAATTACACATCACCTGCACTTTAGCACACTGTTGACATTTTTTACTGCTTATACATTACAGGATATCTACAGTATCACTTTCTCAAGAAGTAGATCTAGATCTAATCTATAATAAAGTAAAATGAAAATATTAATTAACTTCAGATTAAACTAGAATCTAAATATTTTTTTGATTTTCTGAAAGATTAAGGACCCCCTGATCATTGATCAGCTTTTGATTAATAATTTAATAAATAAACATAGATTTTAAAGGACAATCAAATCAATTGCTGAATTTAAAGAAATAGAAGACAGATTACATTATTTTTATTTCCCCCTTTTCCTTCTTTTTTTTAATAGACCAGTTGACATTAAGCTTTGATGAATAGGATAAAAAATACTAGTACAGTATTTTCTTTTGCTGTTTTTTTTTTCCACAGCATTGTTTTTAAATTACTATATTATGTGTAGTTAAATATCTTTTTAAAACTGTATAAAACAGCTAAGTGAGATTTTTTGGTTTGGACCAATGTGGTCCTTTATTAGGTTCAAGAATATCAGCAGCATCAAATAACTCAGCACTTAAAACAGCCTGGTACAAAGCATTAAACGCTCCAGGGCCCCTTGTCATTATCAGATCCAAAAGTTTCTCTGATTTCTTAGAAGGTGATGCATTTACCTAAATAAAATATAAAAAACAAATAGATTTATGTTTTTTAAAATAAAGACAGGTTCATTATATGCTCATGTTTCCATTAACTATTTTTAACAATTAAACAAAAACCTCAGGTGTAAACAATTACCTAAACATATTGCTTATTAGTAAATTAATAAGGAACAACTGTAAATGCAATACTACTAGATCTAGTAACATTTCCAGTCATACCAGAATATCTTCATACATGATTTCAGATATAATTTCATTATTTTTTAAGTTCCTGCATACACTGTCCACATCATGCTTGATTGCCTCAATCAGTTTGACATAGTTATGTGTAATAAGGTCCTTGTGAATTTGATTCATATCTAAAAAAACAACAACATCAAATTGTGAACACAAAACTTATTTGAACAAAGGCGCACACTAACATTTTTGTAAACATACATAAAAAGTAGAAATTTAATTTGAGGCTTTAACATGCATTGATGACCCCCCAATGCTAAAATATATTTTTTATTGTACACTAATCTTTTTATGTTCATCACAAGTGAAATGCAGGCTAACTAAAAAGTGTAAAACTTAATTCTAAAAACTAAACGTATTATACTAGATCTATTATTATATACAATTATATAGTTATAGTAACTTATTATTTATAGTATTAAGTATAATAACACAAATTGTATAGCTAAGTAATACTAAGTATAGAACTAGACCTAGAGATCTATATATAGATATACTATTATTATAGATCTAGTCTAGTTAAGTCTAGTAGTGAGTAGACTAGTACTAGTTAGTTATGAGTAGTATTTAAAAAAAATTAACAGTAATAATTAAAATTTAAATAATTTAATTAGGCCTAACTAATTAGTGTAATTAGTTTTGATCTAGATCTAGATCTAGATCTACACCAAAACTAAAATAATTCAAAATTATGTGCACCTGAATATAATTATATTATATAGGCCTAAGTATAATAAAGTATGATATTGGCTTGCTCGGATAATACTTTGGCCCTTGGTCAACTACAGAAAATAAAATAATCCAGCATTTAATCAAACCATAAGTTATCAATATCATAGGTACCAATTTTCAATTAAATTGACGAACTTCTCCAGCACAGTAATCTGACACTACACCGTTTTTCTTGGAATTTCGGTTCACAGAAACTGAAAAGGGGAATTTCCATTTTTTTAGTCCTATTAATTACCAGAATATAAAACAAATTTTAAAAATGCTTTGAAAATTGAATAATATTTTATAGTTAATAATAGTTAGCCAAAACATTGTAAAATAAAATTTAAAATAAATTCATATAGATTCTAATATTAAATTACACAGTATCTGGTTAATTACTAAACTACGCTGGCCTACAGGTTTATATTTTCATTATTTTGTGATGTTATTTCGCTTTGCTGTTTTGTCTAACAACTAGATCTATAAAGTCGACAATTAGGTTAACCGAATTTAAGAAATTTATTAGCCTTTATTATTTTTACCACTTTAATGAAGGATAAGAAAAAGATATTCTAAGAATACTTTTTAAGCCTATTCTTAGACGTCTTAGAGTAATCTATCGTTTTTAAAAATCGCCCGCGGCTAATGTATGTACGAAAAAGTTACCTCATTGTCAAGGCTTTAATTAATAGACTAAATATAGATCTAGACTCTAGACCGGGAGTCTAGAGTCTAGGTCTAGAGTCTAGATCTACGTCGTATATTATTCAATTGGCATTGGGTAATCCGTAATCGTCGGTAATCTATCGTTTTGGATACGTAAAATCGCTCGCGGCTATTAATGTACGAAAACGTTACCTCATTGTCAAGGCTGTAATTAACTAGTAATAGAAGTAGATCTATATTGTGATATGTTTGTGTCAAATATTATAGATAAATGAATAATAAACCTAAATCAATGCCTAAAAAATAAATATATCAGAAATTAACTTTAAACAGCAGTGTTTCCGAGCAAGATTTGAACAGCAGCCATTTGTTAAAACAGAGTGCCTTCCCCTGAATCTAGTGCTATTAGTTTCCAAAAAAATCAAACTTAAACAAGATGGCTGCTATAATTAATGTTACTAAATGAGCATCGTTGCATCTGTTGGAAACATTGCTAGTCTTCATTTATTACTGAAAAGTTTTAATTCAATCAATTGTTTAAAAACAAGTACATAAATGAAACTTTAAAACATTTTTGTAAATTTCAAAACTAAAATCCTCCTATAAATGTGAAATAATTATTAAAATTTAACTTAAGGAGTCACCTGTTTTTCACATTACTAGTCGCGGGCAATTTTACGTACCCAAAGCGATAGATTACTGTCTATTCTTTAATTATTATTAGATCCAACTAATTTTAGACTACTTTTATAGTAGTACTAGATCTAGATCTAGTAACTACTAGTTATTGCTATTACTAGTAGTTAGTAGAATCTATATACTATATTAGTAAGAAGATCGTTTTAGGTACGTAAAATCGGCAGAGACTAGTAATGTGCGAGAAAGGTGGCTCATTAATATATAATATGGCTTTAATACAAGTATATTAGGTCTATTATATTTTTTGTGTCAAATATAATAGATATTAGAACAATAAACCAAAAGCAATGTATAAATAATATATCAATATAGGCCCGAAATTAATTTTAAACAGCCTTCTTTCAAGCAAGATTGGCTATATATTACAGCGGCCATCTGTAAATTAGAGTGGTTTCCCCTGAATCTCTAAATGTTACCAAAAAACTTAAACTAGATGGTTGCTAAAGTAAATGAGCTTGGTTGCATCTGATGAAAGCATCGCTATTTATTACTGAAAAGTTTTAATACAATTATTTAAAAACAGGTACATGAATGAAAGTTTGAAACATTTTTGTAACTTCTAAAACATAGATCTTTCTGGCCTCTGCCGATTTTACGTACCTAAAATGATAGATTACCGAAGACACAATATATAATAATTTATTTATAATATTAATAATTATATAAATAGATTTTACTTAACTAAAATGATAGTTTACGAAGACACAAATATATAATAATTTATTTATGATATTAATAATTATATATAAATAGATCTAATCTAGCCTAGCGGCTTGCAGTAAAACTTAATTTTTAGCGTATTTTATTCCCCTTATTTACTTCAAGTCTGTCTAGAGTTTCTTTAATGAAGTACCAAATATTTTATTTTTACTATCATCACCTATTAAATGAAAATTTTATGCTCTAAATATATTTTAAAAAATAGATAATCTGGGAGAATAAATCTTAATGTAATAATCTATTTAATATAGGGCATAGGGATAGGCCCTTATTAGTAATATGAATAATTTGTGATTCTAATTCAGTTACGTAAATGTGAATAAATTGATATAATTTTTTTAAAGATCTTGAGCGATTGCGACAGTTTCATTTTTTCTTTATAATTAGTATAAAGTAAAAGTAAAATTTAAATATGCTTTCAAAATAAAATAGCTTAGCAACTATTTAAAAAAGTTTATTCCATTAGGGCCTAGTTATTATAAAATTTAGATAAGAGAATTACCATTGTCTTAATATTTTATTTATCATTAAAATTTAAATTTAAAAAAAAAAAATGCCACTTTTAAACTCACTTTTCTCCCTATGCCCTCTAATGCCTAGATTTAAGTAGATTTCTATATAGATCTAAATCTAGAGCTCATAAAGCCCTATTATTAAAATAGGAACTTTTTTCTGCTAGTACTAATTAAGCTAGAAATATAATTTTGGTATCTCCTCTAGCCAACTCATATGGTTTTAGAAAAAAATATTCAAAAATAATTTTTTGTATGCTACTAGATCTACTTAATTATAGAAGACTTAAAGTTTTAATTTAATAATTAGTATATCTATTATACTATTAGCTTAGTTTTAGTATTATAATTAGCCTAATTATTCAGAATATTTATAATATTTTAGGCCCTATATTCTATAACTACTATTATAATAATATAATTTTATTGTAAAAGTTAAATAATATTATTTTATATAACCTAACTAATAACTTTATTTTTATAATAAGTAGACCTGTAATGTAGAATGCTGATTGTACTTTTATAATGTAGGTTATTCAGATGACTGAATTATCCTATGATGAGACTACAACTAGATCTAATAAGTTACTAATAACTTACATACTTTGTTATTCTATATTACTATATTCTATATTACTAGATCAAAATATACACTATTATATTATAAATCCATTTACTATTACACTTAGGACTACAAATTATTATTTTATAATTATAGCCAGGCATAGTTTAGCAGTAGTATAACTGATTTACAACTAAAATCTATTAGGCCTACATTATTTAGCAAAATAGCATTGTAATTTTTATGTATATAGAAATAATCTAGACTAGTATTTAGACAGTAGTTTTGTGATTAGGAGTTCAATTTTTTAAAGAATTTTTAAAAAGATTTTTTTATTAGAAATGCCTACTGATAAAAATATTTAAAATCTTCTTCCAGATATAAAACACCAGTTTGATACACTTTAAAAATAAATTAACATGGATCCGAGACATAAGAAAATATTGCAGACATCCTATATAAAACTTACTGAAGAACTAGGCCCAGGAATCAACCAGGTTTGTGCTGAACTTCGAGCCAAAAATATCTTGACAAATCGAATGTATGAGGATATTATAGAGGTAATTCTTTATTGTAAAAATGTGTTATTCACTATGACATTGTTAGACAGGTACAATTAATTACACTAAAATTAATGACATTTTTACAAAGCCTCTTTTAATTTATGTTCTAGAACAGGTCACTAAAATATAACTTTTTTCATTATTAATTACAGGGCAACATTACTAAAAGTGCAAAAGCTGAAGCTCTCTTGAATATTCTTCCCACCAGAGGGCCTTATGCCTTTGAAACTCTTTATAAAGCTGCTTTACAATTTGAACTATACAATGTAGCAGACATTCTAAAACCTGATAGAAGACCCCACTGGAGTGCGGAAGAAGCTACTAGTCCTGACCAAGATACCTCAAATAGTGAGTTAAATTAAGTACATAATTTTTTACATGCTTTTTTTTCAATTAATATTTAAGTCTTTAGACTCTATTTCCTGTTTATATAAAGCTGAAAAATTTAAACAAGCAGGTATTTTGTTTGTTGAATGATAAGAAATATCTTATTCAATCATGGAGTTGAAAACATTTTACCTTTATCATATTAAATTTAAAAATTGTACATTTAATTTAAATGAATTGTAAGAATCATACATTAACTAATATTAAGGGCAGCCATTTCACTGATATGTTTTATGGTTTTATGATCTGAAAAACATTTGACATTGAAATATTTAAAATTATGAGTAACCTTGTGATTAGTGCACAAGAGATTAATGACTATACATTAGTAAAATAAGCTTTATTTTCATTTATACAGCCTGTTTCAGATAAACTAATCTACATGTATTAACATGAATTGTAGGATGAGGTGAAAAATTGGCAGGTTTTATGTGATGACACAAAGCAGCACCCATTTAACTTTTCTTGAATTGTGATTGACAGAAATAGAGAGTATTCAGCCTCACACTCTTTTAAAATCTATTTTTTTTTCTGAAGGTGATTCTACTGGAGCTATGCTTCAACCAGAGAGGGCATCTGTTGCTGGCTCTGCAATTGCTAGTAAGTTTAAAAATAACTTCTTTTAGTGCATACTACCTTGACAAGTCTGAGGTAGAGAAAACAACTAACACAGTCTGACACAAGGGCAGCAGTTATAACATAGCTGTAAGGTGATTGACATAAGTGTTAATTTTTATGAGCCGGTTAATTGTAATTGTCTTTTAGAAAGTAAAGTTTCCCTTTCAAATCTGACGGTCTATGGGGCAAGTGAAGTAGAGTTCACTTGTTTCTGTGACCTCGGCATATGAAGAGATAGTGTGGTCAGCACTATGCCCAGCCGCCTTTACTTTCCCTAACGTGAGTTAGGTACCGATCAGAGTTGGGTAGACTCAGGGACGGTCTACTGAATTGAACCCGGATTCGAACTCGAGACTAACGGGTTAGCAGTCCAGCTCTCTACCACTAGACCACTCCGTCCCATAGCTGTAAGGTTATTGACAAAGGTGTTAATTTTTATGAGCCAGTCAATTGTAATTGTCTTTTAGAAATAATTTTTAATAAATTTATTTTTGTCCTCAAGATGATTCTACTAACACTTTGAGTCAGACAGAAAATAAATTGCCAGAAAAACAAGCTGATCAAGTTAACACAAAAGAATGTAAGTTTTATTAATAAAATTATTTTTATTATAACATAAGCCATGTTAAACCAAAAACCGAGCAAAAACAAACCAAATCTGATAAGTAGAATCAGTGTTGTGGATAAAGGTATCTAGCCCTTAAACTAGCCCTACTCTTCACTTATCTCCCTCTAGCCCTATTTTTATTTATCTCTGACTGAATATGAAGTTATCAAATATATATTTGTAATGTTTTGCAAAGTACTTAAAAAAAACCATCTTGAATTATAAATTACTTTCGCTCTTGTTTCACTATATTTTACTAAGATTCAGCCAATGCCAGTTCAGATATCAGCCTGTCAGCATTACCTCAAAATAATAAACCAGAAGGTAAGAGCTTTTCTTGAATTGACACAATTTAGAGCATCGCTCTGGAAGTTTTACTTGAATACTTTTGTTTGGAGGAGTAGGTAAATTGGGACAAATACAGATTAGTGGTCTTGCAAAGCAACTTTTAACTGGCACCTTTGTGTATGCAGACAATGTTTGTTAATTAAAATACGTCTGTAGTTGAAGTAACCAGATGTAAACTTACTCCACAAACAAAGCTTCATGTGTATATTACCTTTATTATGATTTTCATTTATATATTATGTTTTTGAGACTAGTTTTCATAGTAAAGGAAATGTGAGTGTGTTTGTTTTTTTTACTTTAGATAAAATGATCGTCAAATCTAAATATAACATAACAATTATTCTTACCATGCATTTTGCTTGCCCTGAACCTTAATATGAGGTATTCCACTGAAACTATCGTTATGACTTAAAAAATTAATAAAAAATATTTCATTTTTCAGTTGTTGAACCTCAATCAAGATTAGTCACTTCTTCATCTTATGCCGTGCCTAAAGGTTTGTAAATATTAAGAACATTTTTAGTTACATTTGTATAATTTGAAATAAACAAAGTAATTTATAAATAAAAAAATGTTTGTTAGCAAATGTGTGTACTTTTAACAGATACAACAAGACTGATATTTTTTGTTTGTAATTTGTATCAATTAGACTCTTAAACTTTTTAAAAAATATTTTGAATCTATTAAAAATTGTTTGTGTAATATTATATCGAATGACATGTCTTAGACCATCAGTATTCCCTTCAAACCTAAATGTCTTGAGCTCAAATCTTTTCCTGTTGTTAGAAGTCTCATCTCTGATTAGAACCAGACTTAAAGCCATGGAAAGTGAATGTGGCTAGGCTCCGTACTGATCACAATTTATTTTAGCAATCAGGTCCAAATGAGTACCTTACTCTTGATAATAAAAATTACTGTAATGCTCTTTAGAGTTAAAAATGCTTTTACATGGACTTGTATATTAAGAATTTTAAAAAATTAATTGTGTAAAATTTTAAGATATTTTTTACAGACTGGGCAGAGAAAACTGTTGTAACTGTGACTGATGCAAATATGCTAAAACTTTTTGAGGAAGCTCAAGCAGACAGTGTTAGTGTTCATTTTTTATTATAAACATTTTTCATATAAAAATAGGATGTCACTACAATTTTAAAACTATTAAAATTACTTTAAGAAATAGAAATACCCATATACAAACAATGGTATTAATATTGGAAATGAGCAGAAAAATTTTAAAGCTTAAAATAAAATATGGAAAAAAATTAGAATATCTTTATAATCCAAATATTCTAATGCACAAAAACAAATTTTAAAAATTTCAAACCTGGTTTTAGTTTTTAAAGTAACTATTTCCAAAAAAAAATTACATCGTTTCGTATTCTGTCTTTAATTTTCCAGGCTAAAATTTACAAGATGCAGAATAAGTGTCGAGGTCGGGCTATCATTTTTGATAATGAATACTTTGATAAATTTAAACGAAGAAATGGAACTGCTGTAGATAAGAAAGCTATGAAGAAACTAATGGAAGATCTTTCCTTTACTGTCAAGGTTTATGATAATTTGAAGAGAGCTGTAAGTTGAAAAATACATTTACATTTTAAAAAAATTCTTACATACACTTGACGCTTAGTACTGATTCGCTTGTTACTGACACTGATTTATTGTAAAGCTTTGTAAAGCATGCACATGTGATCAGTTAGATCAGTGGTCCTTAACCTTTTTGATGGTATCAAACTCACCAGTATCAAATGTGCATTTACAATACCTAACAATAATAGTTCTATTGTTCGCAACTGAGAAAATACTATCGTGAATAATATGAGTCTAGTGTATGTCTTGACCTTCACTGAATACCTGTGACTGACTTACCAAAGCCCTGGGGTTTGATAGAACTAGGGTTAAGAACCTATGAGTTAGGTAGAATGGTTGTTGCAGGTAATTGTTTGGACATTGTCTAGTCAAATACATATAGATTTTAATATTGCTGTGGAATATTACCTCAAACTTTATTTGATTAATTTAATTCGATAAGCTAATTTCTATAATAGATCACAATTTTCTTAATTTATTTGTTGTGGAGATACAAACGTAAAAAAAAACCCCAGCAAGCTGCTGAAAAACTAGGAGGAGAATGCTTTAGACATTTCTTTTTAGCTAACTTTAATTTAACCTTTAGAGTTTGTAACCTTTTAAGTTTTAAAAAAAAATATAATTATCTAAAAAAGTTTTAAATTCTAGTCTCCGACATATTTTGCTTGAAACATTTTGGATAGGCTGGTAAATTAAGTTAAACATTATGATATCATAGATATGATTTGAATAATTAACATTTCATTAATACTTGAATGTTTAAAGTTTATGTTTGATTTGAACTTGTGTGAATTAAAAATTCCTTTTTTTTTGTTTTAAATTTTTTAGAAGCTTGTTACTGAACTTCAATATGAGCTTAACTTAGTCACAGACAACGATGAATGTTTTGTGGTGATATTTTTATCTCATGGCCATGGAGGCTATGTGTTTGGAACTGATGGAAAAATGGAAAATGGCATTCCTGTAAATGCCATAAGTGTACAGGAAATCCGAGACATGGTCTGCAAACAAGGAAAGCTTTTGAACAAACCAAAGCTGTTCTTTATCCAAGCTTGTCGTGGAGGTATGGACTTCACAGTTGTCAATTGAAATAATATGTGTGTTTATTAATATCACAACAGTAAAAGTTGTCAGAAGTGTTTAGTTAATAAATTAGCATTCAAAAGAAAGTTAAAACAATTATTATTAGGTCTTTCACTCTGTGTCTTTTACTTTGATAACAATGTGGTATTGCATTATTAAGCCCTCCAAATACTTTAAATTACTATGTGTAATAGAATGATAACTAATCTGTCACCCTAAAAGCCAAGCAATCTTTTTTTTAAAATATTTTGAGTAAAATTTATCTATTGGATAATGTAATATTTTATCCCTCAAATTTTATACTTTGGAGAAGTATTGGCCAAGCTATTTATTAAACCTTTTTTAAAATCTATTACTTTAAGAAAATGTATTTGAATAGATTTCAGTCTAATTATTTCTGCTTTGGTGCAGGCAAAGATGATGTAGGAATAGAAGTGGTGGAAGAAAATTATAAAGAAGCAAAAGCTGTGGCTGAAAGGTTGACAGAAAGTGAAACCTCTGATGGGACTGTTCCAACTTATGCTGATTGTTTCATAGCTCTTGCCACTACAGAGGGTAACTATGACTCATTTGTCTCATAAAACACTATAGAAAATACATAGACAGTATATTATCGTTTTAAAGTATTATATTTTAAATTCCGTTCACAAATTAGAGCAGTTTCTAAACTTTGAAATGTTTTTTTTTTTCTTCAAAGAGTATGTGGCAATACGCAATATTATAAATGGCTCATGGTTCATACAAACTGTTGTGTATGTGTTTAGCAAGTTTGCACACCAGTGTGATATCAATACATTGATGACAAAGGTAAAATTGATTTTGTAAAAGAAAATTTAAAAATGAGAACGGCATAGCTTTATCATTTTAATTTTAGTGATTTCCCACAAATTCAATAATGTAAGTATAACTCTAAAACTGTGATTGTTCACAGGTGAATGAATGCATTGCAGACAAAGTTTCATCCAAAAAAACAAAACAAATGTCAGAAGTGACCCACACATTAAGGAAAACCTTCTATTTTTTCCCTGGTCTGCTTAGGCAATCTACAAAAGATCAAGGAAGAGAAACAACTTCATAATAAATGGCAACTTTTAGAAATTGTAAAGATGTCTTTTTATGTGAAAAAGTAAAATAGAAACTGTAAAAGCAATTATTTTATTTCCAAACATATTGAATAGCTTTTAAATTCACACACAATTATAAGCAAATATAAGTTTTACTGTAAATTGAGTCTTCTGCAAATTTTTACTTTTATTTTTACACTTTTATTTGTGATATTGAAATAACAAAATATAAATAATGGTCCCTAGGCAGTTAGTTTTGATAATTTACACCCATTTTCTGTGGTCATTTCAAACTTTGTAACAAAATAGTAACATAGAATGTCTATGACAACTAGTAAGTCATGTGGTCCTGCAATCTACCCTCTGAACACCCGAGTTTTTATGTTCTACCTAGGGGTCATCCATAAATGACGTCACACTCGTAGGGGGGGAGGGGGGTCCGTAATTTTGTGACGATGTGTGATGGGGGGGGGGGGGGGGTTCAGATGTTGCGAAGTCACACTTTTGCATTATAAAAAAGCAATGTTAGAAAACGAATTTTAAACGTTACTTCGCGTTTTTGATAGCTGTTTTAATAAATTGTAATAGTTTAGACAAGATTTTAGAAAAATATCGATTTAAAAAAAAAAAAAAATTCAACTGCAATTTCGAGGGGGGGGGGGGAGGTTGTAGGTTGAGGTGTGTCGTCATTTTAGGGGGGTCTGGCTTTGTGTGACGGAGGGGAGGGGGGAGGTAAAAATCGTCCAAAAAAGCGTGACGTCATTTATGGATGACCCCCTATCAGTCGTTTGATCATTACAAAGTAAAAAATGTTATATCTATGAGTTGGGTTCTATTATCGAGGGGGCGGGGGGTAGTTGGAGTGTAACTGTAAAAAATCTGTTGATAATAAATGTTTTAAAAGAATAAACCTATAAGTATAATGATTGTGTCTTATATTTAAATAATGTTTGTAACAATCAACTGATCAGAGGCGCAGCGACCCTTCCCGGCGCCCGGGGACAAACTTTTCGGTTTGCACCCCCCCCTCGAGATTTTGACTTGCACCCCCCTCAACCTTTCAATTTATTTTTCCAACCCATTTTGGCGCCCCCTAAGCTCGGCGCCCGGGGACATATGTCCCCCCCCCCCCCCCGCCTCCCCTCGCTACGCTACTGCAACTGATAGAGAATATTATTATATGTATTTTTGTTTTATTAGGAAATATAGTAATATTTTCTTTGTCAAAGGTATCATTAGCCATGGAGTTTAAAATCTGGTAAATGTCCCGTGACGCAGAGGCGTAGCGAGGGGGGGGGGGATGCGGACCGCACTGGGTGACACCGTTTAGGGGGGTGACACCAAGGAAAATTAGCAAAATACATAAAGAAAAATTATAATTCCACTTAAGTGATTAATTCGAGTGTTAGTGTTTTAAGAGGTGTCAATCGAACGTTTGAGGGGGGGGGGGGGAGTGCAAATCGAAAATTGAAAGTTTGTCCACGACGGGAAGAAGGGTCGCTACGCCTCTGGGGGGTGGCACCATTAACTGCCGCACCGGGTAACACCCGACCTAGCTGCGCCACTGCCGTGACGTTAACGGTTCTAGATTTGCAATTTCTTTGATATATTGAAGTTTTTCCGCCAGAAGTAGTGGCGTAGCCAGGATCGTCTCGTGGGGTGGGGGGGGGGGCGTCAAAACTTTGACTTACATATATATTTATATATACATACATCAGTGGCGGAACTAGAAAAAAGGGGCCACCCCGCAAAAAAAATTTTTAGGCCCCCCCCCCCCATATAAATATATATATATATATACTCATAAACAACATACGAACATAGGATACATATTCATGCTGGCCTGTTCGTGTTATGAGAAATACGTGGGTTTTTTTTTAATTAGAACAAATTACAACATCATGTCATGAGTGTAAGTGCATTAGTCTGTTTTGTGAAAATCAGTTTTATATTATCTGTGCCGTAAGACACTTATCCTCATATTGGTCAAAAGAATATAAAACATGAAAGCTTTCTGTAAATAATGGTGTCTCGTGTCATGTTTATTTTTATGTTTTTTGTATTTATTTTATTAATTTTAAATACATTTTCTTTTTATACAGTGTCATTCTTTAGTAAGTAATTTATAAACAAATAATAATAAAGAGAAGTAATTGCTTTTTAATTTGTTTAGTACAAATCTATTAAAAAGAGGCTTATGAGCATCACTATTTGACCATTTAAAAAAGGGAAATAAGTCATGGAAGTGGTTTGAACGTTTGCTTATCTTTGATAAGTTTCATTGTAGGAGAAAGAGGACTCGGCTTTCACAGTGGTTTAAAAACGAAGGAAAAATGAGCGTGGGATGGTGTCTATAGAATAAAGATAATCCAACCGCAGCTACGGTAATCTTTTTTACAAAACAAACATTAAGTCAAAAATGCAAGAACATTTTTTTTTTTAACTATAACAATTTTTTTATGGTCGGCCGTGGGCCCCTAAATGGCGTGGGCCCCCCCCCCCCCCCCCCGCATTGCGGGGTCTAGAGGCACTGTAGTTCCGCCCCTGACATACATAATGTAGGGTATCGCCTAAGATTTTAAACTTCAATATTGTTCATGATGACTTTAGCACACATTTAGCAGTGTAAAGTTTAACTACGTTCTCGATTGTAAAGTCTAGATCGAAGAAACAATTTCTTTAAGAGCTATGTTTATGTTTTATAGCTTTAAAGTTTCCATTAGATGACATTGCTTTGCACCGCAAATATTTGTTTTAAATCAATAACAGTTTAGAAGCCAGCTCCTAAATGCCCTCTATGTTTACTTTTTTCTTTCCGTTTGTGGATAAGCTTGGGGTATTATAACCATCCATGTCTGATATTGAGAATTTTATTGATGTTTATTTATTTTGTTTATTAGTGGATGTTTTAACATGGTTTTTACTGCGTACGCTACTGTAAAGACGAAAAGTAAAAAGGGAAGTAAAAAACACAAGGTGTAGTTTAAAATTAAGAATGTGTGAGCTCCCCTAAATGTTCTCGTATTTTCTTATTATTATATATATATATATATATATATATATATATATATATATATATATATATATATATATATATCTAATATATAAAGCTCAGTTCTGTATGTAATCTGTATGTCGTTGGAAGTGTACGAATTTAAAAGTTAGAAAATTATCGTGCGCGTTTGTCTAAATTTATGAGTTAAAAAATTACTATTAAAAGTGTTGGGAAATCATTTTCATTTTTCAAATTATAGTAATAATTGTCGGCATGTTCATTAAACACAAGTTTTAAAAAAAATATCATCTTTTACAAAAATTCTAATTATGTCTTTCTTTAGTCCTATAGCGCTTACTTCCCTTTGATAAATTAGGCAAAACACAATTACTTCCCTTTATGAAATCATTGCATTAGTTGAAAAGCATTTACTTTTTAATTACTTTGTTTTGGTGTTGGGAAAAAAATAATTACATAATTAGCGGGGATTGATCAAGTGCAAATGTTTTAGGTATTTTACGGATAAGCTTGGAGTATTATAATTGTTCATTAAATTGAAACAGGCGCGTTCGTTTAAGTGAGTGCAAAAACTATGAATACGTTGGGGTACTATAGTCGTTTATTAAGCTAAAACAGGCGATTCTGCCCCGGGCGTTTATGTTCGCGTTAGTGTTTTCTTTGTGTTTAGGTGGGTTTGCGTTAGTGGTTGCGTTTTGATTTGGTTCGTTTTTGTTCTTTCTTTTTTCGTTTTTGTTTGTGTTTTTTTTTGTTTGGGTTTGTATTTGTGTTTTTGGTTGGTTTTGCGTTTGGATTTGGTTTGTTTTCGTTCTTTCTTTTTTCGTTTTTGTTTGTGTTTTTTTGTTTGGGTTTGTATTTGTGTTTTTGGTTGGTTTTGCGTTTGGATTTGGTTTGTTTTCGTTTGCTTTTTCGTTTTTTTTTTTTTTGTTGGTATTGGTGTTTGTGGTTGGGTTTGTTGTTAGGTTTTTGTTTTCGTTTGCTTTTTTGTTTGTTTTTTCTTTGTGTTTGTATTGGTGTTTGTGGTTGTGGTTGGGTTTGTTGCTAGGTTTTTGTTTTCGTTTGTATTTGTAATTGTGTTAGCGTTATGTTTGCGTTTTGTTGTTTTGGTTTTGGTTGGTCGTGGTTTGGGTGAGCAATGCCGGGTTTATGATGATTACTAAACACACAGGTAATGGTCTTTAACAGAAAGGTTTTTCACAGAAGCCAGAGCAGGGCCTGGCCGGGACGGCTAGTATATATATATATATATATATATATATATATATATATATGTTGCGGTCAAAGGCCGAAATGCGCGCATTGGCCAATATCGCCTCCCAGTGAAAGTCCGAAACTTTGCTTGATTTCGGCCTTTGGCGGACTGGCCGGTAGAGCGGCCAACGTCTGAATTAGAAGATCATGAGCAGATTTTTTTTAATACAGTAAGGATCATGAAATTAAGTCTTTATTTATTATTCATTAAAGTAAATGACAGAAACATTGAAATTTTTTATTGTACTATATTCTCAATCAATCAATATTATCACTTGATACAACAAGTTGAACTTTAATAGCATTTAGAATTACATAGTAGCTTGTTATTTTTACACTTGCAGCGATTTGTTGTGCACTTGGTTGTGCATTTGCAGCGAGTGTAGCCTAGGCCGCCGGTCAATGATTGTGAAGATGCGATGGTTCGTAGTGATTTTTCCTCAGTGCCAACTGACGACAATAAGAGCAGTTTTTCGTGAAGAATTGAAAACTCACTTCTCGCATACAGTTGTTTTAGAACACCATGTTCCGTTCCTAACTTGTAGATAGCGCCCTCGACGCTCATGACAACTACAATCACGCTTCGGGGATCACCGCGACCTCTGTCAACATTATTGTCACGCAACTGGTCTGGACGTTCCGCCACGGCAGCAGATGTGTTAGCTGAGGATGTCGATGCATTTATGGCAACCTCCATTTCTTGTTCAATGCTTATAGGTAAATGGCTTGGCCGTAGGGCAGACCTGTCGGTTTCACCCAAAGCCCTCGACGAGGGCTAAAAAGTGACCGCGAGTGAAATTCTCTTTATGTGAGCTCTATTACGAAAAAAATGTCCTCCGACGACCCCCCTTGATATTTTGTGAGGTGGTAGAAGAACGCCTTGGGGTGTCACAAAAAACTCGGCATATCTGGGAAAACTTCGTAAAGGGGTCAAAACTGACCAGTTGTATTTCCCTATATAATCTTTGTATTTTATGGGAAAAACAGAGGGTCATTTCAAAACGGATTTTAGGGCACTTACCCTCTTTACATCTGGCTAATTTTTGGCATGCTTATAGGTAAATGGCTTGGACGTAGGGCAGACCTGTCGGTTTCACTCAAAGCCATCGACGAGGGCTAAAAAGTGACCGCGAGTGACAATCTCTTTATATGAGCTCGATTACGA